AATAAATCTTATTCAAGTCTATGCACCAACAGCAGATAAAGATGACAATGAAATAAAACAACTCTAAAACGATTTAGAAGAAATGCTGAAAACAATAAAAAAGCAACACACTACCATAATAATGGGCGATCTTATTGCCAAGATGGGTCAAAGTAAGGTAGAAGAACAAGTAGGAAACTATGGACTTGGAAACAGAAATGACAGAGGAGATCGATTGTTTCAATTTTGCCAAAACAAAGACTTCGTAATAACAAACACCTTTTCAAATTACCTCCTCGGCGGTTATATACATGGACATCTCCACAACATACCAAAGAAAAAATAATAAGAAATCAAATAGACTACATTATGATAGCAATGAGGTATCGTAATGCTGCTGATGTACTAAGACGTACTCAGGAGCTGATATAGGCTCAGATCATAACCAGGTAGTTACTGTGATATAGACGAGACCAAAAAAGATAAGAAGACCACACAGAAAGGCAGTAGAATTAAATAAACTTATATTCGACAAGAAACAGGAAAAGAAATAAATGAAAACCTCCGTTCAGTACAGCAACAAATTAACGATACACATAACGTTAACCAAAAATTAAAGTACATAAATACATCTATACAAACAGCAGGAAAGAAACATCTTACAAAAACAACAACAAAGAATAAGGGGTGGATGACACAAGATATACTAGACTTGACGGAACAAAGAACAAAGAGGAAGAATTACCTAGACAAATAAAAAGAAAAAGATAAACACATAAAAAAGAGAATAAAAGAAGCTAAAGAGGCGTGGATTAAAGAACAGTGTGAAGAAATGGAAACTTAATGAGAAAAAATACGATGCGTTCAATATGCACAAAAAAGTAAAAGAGATAACAGGAAGCATAACGAAATGCCAAATATGTAAACTTAAAGACAAAGATGGAAATCTTATTGTAGATCTAGAGAATAAAATAAAAAGATGGACAGAATACATAAATGAATTATTTAAAGATGATAGAAACAACTTAACTCAGATAATCAATGCAACTAGGCCAGACATATTGAAAGAAAAAGTAGAATACGCAATAAGAAACGCTAAAAATGAAAAAGCAAATGGACCTGAAAAAATTCCTACAGAACTGTTGAAGCTTTTGAATGATAAATCCGTAACCATAATATTACATCTATTCAATACAATATAAAGTACTGGTATAATACTTCAAGAATGGTTGCTGTCTACGTTTGTCGCCATACCGAAGAAAACTAAGGCAATGTAATGTTCAGATCATCGAACAATCTTCTTGATGAGTCATCTGCTAAAAATATTTCTTAGAATTATCCACAACCGAATCTATCAAAAGTTAGATATCGATATTAACGATACACAGATGGAATTTAGAAAAGGATTAGGTACAAGAGAAGCTCTTTTTGACTTAAACGTCCTAATACAGAGATGTATAGATGTTAACCAAAAGGTACACGCCTGCTTTATAGACTTTGAAAAGGCCTTTGACAAAGAACGCCACAATAAACTCAAAGAAATCATGAAGGGTAAGAATATCGACACCAGAGACATACAAATAATATTAAATCTGTACTGAAATCAGCGCGCTAATATAAAAATGAAAGACCAAACATAGGACGAAATACAAATACGTAGAGGAGTACGACAGGGTTGTATATTGTCACCGCTTTTGTTTAATATCTACAGCGAACAAATATGCCCAGAAGCTCTCTCACATGCAAACGAGGGGATAATAGTAATGGAGAAGTTATCAATAACATTCGATATGCTGACGATACTGTGATAATGGCAAGAACAGTGGAAGATCTACAACATCTAGTTGAAAGTATGAATGAGATATGTAATAACTACGGCATAAGGATGAACGTCAAAAAAACCTGTCCTTCAGTAAGAATCCAATACATGGCACTAGTATCACAATAAACGGTACCCAACTCGAAAAAGCCAACGAATACAAATATTTGGGAACTCTCATCAATGAAACAGGTGACCAAAATCACGACATAAAAAGACGTATTGAAATTGCCAGGTATACCTTTATAAAAATGAAGAAATTGTTTTGTAATCGTGATATAAGTATTCATCTACGAACTAGAATGTTAAAATGCTATGTATTCAGTACTTTGCTTTACGGTGTTAAACAGAGGAATGTTAAAAATCTTGAATCCTTTTAGATGTGGTGCTACCGCCGTATAAAAATAAGTTGGATGGATAAAATTACAAATGAAGAGGTAATACGCAAAATAAATAACGACCCAGAAGTTATCCTAAATATAAAAAAGATAAAACTTGAATACTTAGGCCACCTGATGAGAGGACAAAAGTACACATTCCTACAAAATATAATGCAAGGAAAAATCCAAGGACGCAGATATCGAGTCCGTAGAAGAATGTCCTGGATGAGAAATTTAAGAGAGTGGTTTGGCTGTACCACTAACGAATTATTTAAAACCGCAGTTAATAAAATTAGAATCGCCATAATGATATTCAATCTCCGATAGGAGAGGCACTTAAAGAAGAAGAAGAATGTCTTTTGATAAAATATTTTTTAATCAATATTATTTCTTGAAAAAGGTATGAATATCCTGCCGAAACGTCGATAAAAATATCTTAGTATCAGAGACAATCGGTTTTATGAACCTTCTTCTTCTTCTTTTTACGGTGCCTATCCGTTCCGGATGTTGGCGATCAATATGGCTATCCTAACTTTGCTTGCTGCTATTCTGAATAGTCCGGTTGTCGATGTATTAAACCACTTACTCAGGTTTTGAAGCCAAGATATTCTTCTTCTCCCTGGTCCTCTCTTTCCAAATACCTTGCCCCGAAGAATGAGTTGCAAGAAGCCGTATCTCTGTTCATTCCTCATAACATGGCCAAGATATTCTAGTTTGCGCTCTTTGATGGTGTTAATAATCTCGCATTACTTGCCTATTCTACGTAGGACCTCAACATTAGTCACACGATCCACCCATGAAATTCTTAAGATACGTATGTAACACCACATCTCGAATGCCTCGAGTTTTCTTAAGGAAGCTTCGGAAAGTGTCCAGGCCTCTACTCCGTATAATAAGGTAGAAAATACATAGCATCTAATGAGAGAGATTTTGGTAGCAAGTGGTAAATCATGACTTCTGAAAAGAGACTTAATCATTATGAAAGCTGATCTCGCTTTTCCTATGCGTTGTTTTATTTCACTGGAGTGATCCCATTGGCTGTTAATGTTGGTACCAAGGTATGTGTAGCTGTCCACTCTGTCAATTGGATGTTGGTTAACCAAAAGCTGTGTATTTAATATTTCGCGCTTACTGACTACCATGTACTTTGTTTTCTTCGTATTAAGATCAAGTCCGTGTTCTCTACTTATATGTGATATATGCGATATTATTCTTTGCAAACCGTTCAGACTATCTGCAAAAACTACTGCGTCGTCGGCATATCTAATGTTGTTTAGACGCATTCCGTTGACTAATACGCCTTCTTGTAGTTCTCCCAGCGCTTTCTCGAAGATATATTCAGAGTATATATTAAATAACACCGGGGACAGAATGCATCCTTGCCTCACTCCTCTATCTATGGAGACTGCCTCTGTCAATTGATCATCCACTTTAATATTGGCTGTTTGGTTGTAATATAAATTATAGATGATTCTCAAGTCTCTGTCATCTAACCCCACTTCTTTCAAGATGTTTATAAGTTTATCATGTTTTACTCTATCAAATGCCCTTTTGTAGTCAATAAAACAAATATACACATCGCAGTTAACATCCCTGCATCTTTGCATAAGCACTTGGACAGCGAATAGAGCCTCTCGGGTGCCTAAGTAATCGCGGAATCCAAACTGCGTCCATGATACTTGTTCTTCGCATTTTTTATATATTCTGCCGTGTATCACTTTCAAGAACGTTTTAAGTAAGTGGTTTATTAGGCTAATTGTTCTGTAGTCTTCGCATGTCTTGGCATTTACTTTTTTTGGTATGGTCACGAAGGTCGACTTTAACCAGCTTTGGGGTATTTTTCCAGTTACGTATATATTGTTGAATACAGTTGTTATACATTTTATTCCCTGTTCATCCATAAGTTTAAGGAATTCTGCACAAAACTCGTCAGGCCCTACCGCTTTACCAACTTTAGTTCTTTTAATATCTAACGTGACTTCTTTAATGGTAATCGGGGGTCCTGTTTGGCATTCAGTGTCTTCAATGGTAGTCTGCCTTTCATCTACAAAAGTTACTTCCACATAATTCTTTCAAGTGTCTAGTTTTTCTTCCACGGTTAACAGTTGTTTGCCTTGGTTATCTGCCAAACACCCAACTCTTCTAGGTTTGTATAAGCCTGCAGATTCTTTAACTTTTTTGTGCATATTAAATGTATCGTGTTTATGTTGCAATTGCTGAATTTCCGAACACTGTTTTCTTAGATGTGTATCCTTAGATATTCTAATAGCTTTTTTGATCTTTTTATCGATTCGTTTGTATAATGACATGTCTTGATCTTTGAACTTTCGCCTCTCTTCCATCATATCTAGAATCTCATTTGTCATCCAAGATTTCTTAATTTTTGGTGGTTTGAGAAATTTCTCTCGTATGTCTTTTGAAACTGTATGTAACTTTTCTAGCTCCTGGTCCATTACATCCGATTGAATAACGGTATTCAAATTGTTCTGTATATACCGTTTTACACTATGTTCTGTGTGTTGGTCTTTTAATAGCTTGATGTCGAATTTTGGATTGATACTACGTCTAACCTTCTTTAGCCTTAGCCTAATTTTGCCAATCAGTGGGTTATGGCCTGATTTGATATCAGCTCCTGGGTATGTCTTGACTGATGTTATGCTGTTCCGGAATCTTTTATTAATCAGAATGTAATCTATTTGATTTATGAACCTAAGCCCAAGAAATTCTATTAATATAAACTTTAAACGCCCTTATGAGTAATGTTGTATAATCTATATTTATATATAATAAACTAATAAAAAAGTCGATACAAAGATTAAATTTTAAATTTGATCATTAAAACTTAATGGATCATAAAATAGAACATTTCTTCCCAATTCGTATCTTTGTAATTTTTTTAATAAATTTTTTGCTTGGAGAGCTATATGTTTATCATTTTCGTTATTTGATTTTAAATTAACTGCCAAGTTCAAGTAATACTTTGCTTTGAAATACTGACCAATCTGCTTACACGTATCACCCAATAAATACAAATTTGCTAGCACCGTTCTCGGTCGTAGTTCTTCTGCACGTTGCAAATATTTGTAAGCTACTTCATATTCAGACACAGGCGGTTCAGTAGCTAAAAAATATTTCGCTATGAACCGTTGGAATTTAGTTAAGCGACACATTTGGTAACACCAGTTTCCCATCATGTAATAGGATGTAAAGTCATCGGGATTCAATTCACAGGCTTTTTCTAGATGATTTCTAACCATTGGCGCATATTTTACCCTATTTTCGAGACTAATCAAGCCGTAATGAGCATCTAGAACGATAGCCATCCATTTATGGACTTCTGCGTTTTGGGATCCCCCATTTCCAAGCGCTGTCTCCAAAACAAATAACGCTTCATCCATCATAATAAATCTAATTTGTTTATTTAAGTCTTTACCTAAATTTAAGTTGTACAAAGCTCTTGCTATTCTCCATAGTACTTCAGGGTCGTTTATAAAACGTATTCTGTCTAACAGCTCATAAACGTCGAGAAATTTTTCTTCATCGTGTAGTTCATCAGCTTGGGCCAGAACTTCAGGTATAGTTAATAGATTAAAGTATTTTCTTAGCTTTGTATCATCTGGATATTCTTTTCTAAACCATGATAAATGTTTTAATGATTTGGTGAAAGCGAAAACATACAGTTGACGTCTGGGTTTCGATGAAACGAAAAATGCTTTAACGATATGATATAATGAAACTTTCAATTTTGACATATGTGGTGAAATGTAAAAACATCTTCTAATATACTTATGAATTACAAATAATAACAACACAAATAACCAATTTACCTTGACTATTTATATTCTTCTTTTTTTCTTGGATGTTTCTGTGGTCCCTTGCCATACAGCACACAGAAAAGTGTCAATAATTTTTCTGTTTAGTTTACTATTCTAATAATGACATTAAGGAGTATAAAGTAAAAAAAAACATTGCGCAATTCGCTGATTGTAGGTAAGTTGATCGTATGTGCTATGTGAGTATGTTTCTTCTTCTTCTTCTCGTGCCACTCCTAGCGGAGATTGGAAATCATCATGGCCGCTGCGACTTTGTTAGCAGCGCGCCTGAAAAGTTCAATCGAACTACACCCGAACCATTCACGTAGATTACGAAGCCACGATATTTTTCTTCTTCCCACACTTCTTTTGCCCTTAATTTTGCCCTGCATGATGTTTCTTAAAAGTTCGAACTTTTCACCTCTCACAATGTGCCCCAAGTATTCCATCTTTCTAGTTTTTATCTCATTTAGAATTTCGCATCTTTTGTCTAAAGTTTGGAGTACTTGCGTGTTAGTGACGCGATCCATCCATAATATTCTGAGAATGCGCCTATAGCACCACATCTCGAAAGCTTCGATGTTTTTTATGGTCAACTGTTTTAGTGTCCAAGCCTCAACTCCATATAACAGGGTAGAAAAGACATAACACCGCAGCATTCGTATTCGTAACTTTATATTGATATCACGATTGCAAAAGAGTTTACGCATTCTATTAAAGACTGATCTAGCGATTTCTATTCTACATCTAACCTCTTTTGTTTGATCAGTATCGTCTGTGATCCAAGCACCTAGATATTTATAACAGAGCACACGCTCAATCGTTGTATTGTCTATTACAAGATTAGCTCTGATGTTCTTTGATTTCGTGATTACCATAAATTTAGTTTTTTTCAAATTAATTTTCAAGCCGTAACTGTTACAGTATATATTGAGACTTTGAACGAGATGTTGTAGTTCTACTAGCGTTCCCGTTAGGAGAACTGTATCGTCAGCATACCTTATATTGTTGATCGTCTCACCATTTATTATCAGACCAAGATCTTCTTCCTCGAGTGCTTGTTCACAGATAGCTTCACTATACAGATTAAATAAAAGTGGCGATAAGATACATCCCTGCCGGACTCCTCGACGGATTTGAATTTCTTCTGTTAGTCTGCCCTCAACCTTGACATTTGCTGTTTGATTCCAATATAGATTGCATAAAATATGAATATCTCGGCTGTCTATATTTTTCTTTATTAGAACTTGTCTTAGTGGTTCATGTTGTACTTTGTCAAAGGCCTTTTCAAAATCAATAAAGCAGGCGTAAATTTCTTGGTTCATGTCTAAGCATCTCTGTGAGAGAACGTTCATTGCAAACAGAGCCTCCCTTGTACCCAGCCCTTTTCTGAATCCCATCTGAGTGTTACTGATGTCTACGTCTAATTTCCTATAGATTGATTGAGTATGTTTATGTGTATTTAAAAAAATTCCATACTCAGAATGATTGTAATCAGGAACCTTTTTTCTACAGACAATAAAAACTAATTTAAATACATATACAGTTGAGTATATCGTTCTTTACTTGCGCGTCATCATTTAAAGCATATGCAAGAAGTCAAAAAGTTACTCAACGCAACAGCAAGTGACAGAAAGGGGCTACTGCTCTGTTTACGGATTATATTATAAAATTTAATTCTTCTTTTTCTTCTTCCTTCTTGTATGTAGGCTTTAACGCTTGTTTCTTCTTTAATATTAGCCTCCTAAATTGTTGAAATTATCGTACCATCTTTTTCATTGTCTACCAATACTTCTTCGTCCATTTGGTGACTTATCTCGTACTATTCGTACCATCCTATCCTCTGCTATTTTACTAATGTGTTCGTCCCACTCCTGTTTCCGTTTTGTCACTCATCCATTTATGTCTTTTATGTTTTATGCATGCTTTTCTTATGTTTTTGCTTCTCTCCTTATCCAACAGACTTTTCGCTGACATTCATCGGAGTATTTTCATCTGAGTTGTTTCTAGTAGTCGTCTTGTTTTAGATGTGTCAGGTCTTGTCTCTGCTGTGTATGTTAATATAGGTCTAATTGCTGCTTTATAGATTCTTATTTTTGTGTCTTGTCTTAGGTGTTTGTTCTTCCAGATTGTGTCATTAAGAGATCCCTCCGCTTTACTTGCTTTTAAGCTTTGTTGTCGTACTTCTTCTTCAATAGGCCGTAACTAGTTATATATATTCCCAGATATCTAAACCTTGCTTCCTGCATTATTATTTTCCCATCAATTTCGATTTTACGTCATAGTGGGTATTTAGATGTCATACATTTGGTTTTTTCTTCTGATATTGTCATATTGTATTTCTTGGCTGTTGTATTAAAGATATGTGTTTTTTGGAGCTCGTCTTCTGTCTCGGCGATTAATGCGACGTCGTCTACATAACATAATATTTTGATTTCTTTGTTACTCATTCTGTAACCATGACGTTTACGTACTTTATCTATTATTATATTAAAGATAAGTGGGCTTAACGAGTCACGCTGTCTGACTCCGCTTTGTACTAGGATACATTGTTTTAGTTTTCCATTTATCTTTGCCTGTATTCGATTATGTAAATAGATGTTTTCGATGGTTTGTATAATATTGATTGGTATGTTTTTTTATACAGTAGGTGTAAGCCGTTTTTGACTTGGATGCGATCGAAAGCCTTTGTCAGGTCTATAAAACATAGACATGCTGGTTTTTTGTACTCGATGGCCCTTTTTGTGATTTGTATTAGTACAAATATGGCATCTACGCAGGTTCTTTCGGATCTAAATCCTTGTTATTCATCTGATAAAATTGGTAGTTTTTGATTTTGTTGATTAGGACTTTTGTGGTAAGCTAAGTGCGGTGTTCAGTAGATTTATACCTCTATAATTGTTGGGGTCTTCTTCATCTCCTTTCTTGAACATTTATCATTATGCTGTTTCTCCATACGTTTGGTATATTGCAGTGCAATATTAGTTTTTGTATAAGTTTTGTCATCTCTAGGGTTATAACGTATGGTCCTAAAGTTTTGGGAAAAATTTCAAAAACATATAACTTTGACCACAATAATCTTATATTTTTATTAAATTATTCAACAATTTAACTTAACTATCCTTATTATAAATTAAAATTCAAATGACAGACAAGGGGCCATTATTTTCGATTTGCCTAATAATTCCCCTGACACGTTGCATCTCCTTTGGACGACCTCGGAGTCAATTTCTCTAATTTTTGTATATATGCGGCGTCTTAACTGTTCCTGATTTTGTGCTTCCCATCCGTTATTATAGACTTTCCGACATAATATTGCCCAGAACTCTTTAATTGGACGAGCCTGAGGTAGGTTGGGGGGATTGTCTGCTTTCGGTACAAAGGTAATGTTGTTAGTTTCGTAAAAGTTCCTTGTGATCCTCGCGTAATGACATGAAGCAAGATCTGCCCAAAAGACTATTTGATCATTTGCATAATGTGTGTTCACAAACTGAAGCAATTTAGAGAGACATCTTTGAATATAAATATTTGCGTTTAAGGCTTCGCCTCGAACAACACCAATGTAGGGCTGTGAGATAAAGCCAGCCTCAGAAATTGCACACCATACCAAAATTTTGTCCTCAAATTTTTTCTTACTTTTGAATTTTATTTCATCAGGTACATTTTCGTAATCCTTCGTATAAAACCCATCGTTACCCTTCCTCTTAGAGTTGGACAAAGTAAAATATTTTTCATTGTCCATTACGATCAACTTGTTGACGAAATGCACTCGCCTTAACGCGCGGCAACATCTCGGAATTCTCTCTAATTGATCCTCTGTGTATTTTGGAGCTTTCCTTCTTTTCCGGTAGATAATATTGTTACTCGATAGGGTCCTGTATACTGCAGTCTTTCCAACATGAAATCTTCTGGCCAGTTTTCGCTGTGAGACCTAAATTTTGATCTTAGCAAGTTCAATCAGTCTTGCCTCTCTTATATGGTTCAAAATCCGCGGTCGGCCACTTTTACGCAAGTTAACACATGGTATATCTTCTTCACATTCTTTGATTGTGCAATAAATTGTCGATTTGCTTATATTTTGATCTCGATAAATATTAACAATATCTCGTTCCGACATTCGCCCAACCATATTATAAACACCTCGACGAATATCAATTTCATAAGACATTTTGCAGAGCACAAACCAAAATATTCTGCTTTGTTTATTAAATGTCAATAACTGATGACATTTTAATTCCATGGCCTTCTTTGTGAAATGCATTATGCTTCTCAATCAGACCAGGTAAAATTTTTCCCAAAACTTTAGGACCATACGTTACTTTCTCCTCCGTGTTTTAGAAGCTCGTTGGTTATTCCGTCTGGTCCTGGTTACTTTATATTTTTGAGTGAGTTTAAAAATAATATATAAAATTTAATGTTATCAAATAAATAGAATTGGAAATATTAGTTTTGCAGTTACATTTGAAGTAGCTTATTAAAAAATTCTTTTAATAATATTACTTACTTACTTACTCCGTGGCGATACAACCCTTCGTGGGTTTTAGCCGACTCGACAACATGCCTCCACTGTTTTCTGTCTTGAGCAACCTCCATCCAATTCTCCACGCCCATAGTGCTTAGGTCTCCTGCTATATTATCTCGCCACCGGAGATGAGGGCGTCCGCGTGGTCTCCTTCCAGTTGGGACTTCCTCCCACACCAGTCTTACTGTTCGTTCGTCAGAATGTCTTCTGATGTGTCCTGCCCATTGGAGTCTTCTGGACTTTATTTCTTTTATGATGTTGGCGTCTGGGTAAAGTTCTTCAAGCTCTTTATTAGTTCTTATCCTATATTGTCTTGATGCTTCATCAAGCACCGGACCAAAGATCTTCCTTAGGATTTTTCTTTCCCAAACACGTAGTCTCTCTTTTCTTGCCTTTGTTATCGTCCACGTTTCGCTTCCATACATCACAACGGGTCGTATGATTGTTTTATAGACCTGTATCTTCGTACGTCGTGTTAGTTGTTTTGATTTTATAAGGTTTTGGAGGGCAAAAATACATCTGTTACCGGCCTGAATCCTGTTGTTTATTTCTTGTGATCCGTTATTGTCTTCAGTTATTGTTATTCCAAGATACTTGAATTCTCTAACGCGCTCAAAGTTAAAGTCATCGATGGTAATGTTCTGACCGATTCTGTCTCTGCTTTGGTTATTGCGGCTCATATACATATATTTCGTCTTGTTTTCGTTGATTTGGAGCACCATCTTCTCTGCTTCCTTCTTAAACCTTACAAAAGTCTCCTTCATCCTTAATCGCGTGTTTCCTATTAGATCTATATCGTCTGCAAATGCCAGTAGTAAGTTTGGTCCTTTTCGATGAAATACTGTATTCGATTTTTCGATTCTTGCACTTCTGATTATGTGCTCCAGAGCTAAGTTGAAGAGTTGTGGTGAAAGTGCATCTCCCTGTTTTAGTCCATTGTTTATTTCAAATGTCTCCGAGTATTGTTGTCCAACTCTCACCTTACATCGTAACCGTTCCATACACATCCGTATCAACCGGACTAGTTTTTTTGCAATCTTTGCATTGAAATCTCCTAAGATAATATGCATGTCCTGTTTAGGTAAATTATTTATCAGTTTCTCTAGTTTCTCGTAGAAGTTATCTTTTACATGCTCTTCCTTTTCCTCTGTCGGTGCATGGGCAGCAACTAGGGAATAGTTATGTAGTTGTCCTTTGATTCTGATATAACAATGTCTTTCATTAACGGGTTTGAAAGTTAAAACTGACCCCACAAGACTTTCCCTGACTATAAAACCAGTTCCGAATTGATGTTCTCGTTCGCTTCCGCTGAAAAATACTACTGATTTATTAGTTTTTAGTGTACCTTCTCCAATCCATCTAATCTCTTGTAAAGCAGTTATGTCCATGTTTCTGGATTCAAGTTCTTTGACTACCTGAGTTAGGGCTCCAGGCCGATATAGGCTTAGTACGTTCCAGGTTCCTATATTCATTGTCCTTTGTCGTCGCTTTTGTCGTCTTAAAAGATCCGTCCTTATCCGAGGCATGTGTTTCGTTTTAATAATATTAGTCATTAATAAATAAATGAAGAATTTATACAAAATACAGTAATATTTTTAGTGTATTGATATAATAAGTAACGGTAAAATTATTTAAAGAATGAAACTTATTTAGCTCAAATAATATTGTTGCAAGATTTTGAAGGTATCTTTTTCGATTCTCATATTTCTTTTTGATCACCTTTAGAATCTGAACTGGTATCTTATTCTAACATTGTTATCATTATAACAATTTTATTTAGGTCTACATATATTTTTTGGCAAGTCCAGAAGATTTGTGAAAGCTCTTTCAGGAAGTGATGTTTTCTTTCCCAACCGAACATTTCTTCTCAGATTCCAAAACGACAACTCAATTTATATATCCCAACACCATTAACTCTATAAAAATATTTGTACGGAGCGAAAAAATGTAATCTTCGGTGTAACAAATTAAATAAATATCTATTATCTGCTGTAAATAAAATGATTGCTTTCGACTCTTTTATTTATTGTGCTCTTCAGGCCGCAGTATTATCCGCTCCCACAGCCAGATCAAAGAAAAAGTCTTTTTATAATCAAGGGCGTAGTTGAGAAATGAAGAAGAGGGAATATATGATCGATCGATTTGAATTACTTAAAATGAAGATGTGAACTTTCAAACATCTTGATACGATAAGGGAGATATAAATTTATTTGCAGTGCCTATTGTTGGATGTTGGCTTGTTGAAAATTCAGTACAATGATTAAGACAAAAATATAAAAGTCGACAAATATCAATAATAAAAGATAAACATATAAAACATTTTAAAACGCAAAACCCAAAACTTCATTATTATCATAATTATTATTTTGGGACATGTGGGAAAGTCCAAGACAGGATAAGAATCAATACATGGAGGACTAGGATTTGGAACTAAAGATGAAGCTGAAGATCACATGTTTGAATTAGCAACAACATTGTGGCCCGATGTCCACTTATGCATACATAAGTGGGTAAAATCAATCAAAAATAGATTATTCATGAAAAAAAAGAAGATATACATGAATATAAGTACCGCAAGGTAATAGTTAACATAATAGTAAACATAAGTTGATATACAAGAGGAGTACAAAAAATCAAGTGGTAAATGTTACACGATAAAAAAGAAGGTCTATTCAGGGCAAAAATGGTACAAAAAATGTATTGAAACATGAAAGGTAGTCTTAATACAATTTGGAAAAAGATGACCAGTATCATTAGAGATACTTCTATTGAAATACTTTACAAAACGTCAGGAAAGAAGTTTGTGAATAAGGAGACCTAGTGGTGGTTTAACAATGTTCAAGAAAAAATAAGAAAGAAGAAAAGATTATATAAATAGTGGCAAGAAAATAGTTTGAATACAGATCTCCAAACTACGCGGCCGTCAAAAAGGAAGCAGAAGTGGCAGTAAAAAAAGCTAAAGCAGAAGCGTATAATAATCTATACTATCAACTTGATATCAGGGTAGGAGAACCCAAGATGTATAAAATAGCCAAACATAGAGCAAAGAAAACAAAAAAATTTAATCAGATTAGATGTTTCTGAGATAAAAATTGTAAAATACTCATTCACAGAAAGAATGTCAAAAAGAGATGGAAAAAGTACTTTGATAAGTTAATTAAATGAAGAATATGATGGACAACCAGTTGAGTTAACGGAGACAGTAACAGCAATGGTGACCAAAACAAATGAAGAAGTGGCTCAAGCAATTAAAAAATAAAGAAAGGAACAGCAGTTGGACCAGATGATATTCCTGATGAAGCGTGGAAGGCATTAGGAGGGACAGGGACTAATTGGTTAATAGATCCATTTAATAGAATTAAGGAAATTGGGCAAATGCCAAACGAATGGAGAAGCGAGTGGTGTGATGTGTGACAGAAAAAATCAATTGAAACTTAAGGAAAAATTGTACAAAACAGCCATAAGACCAGCTATGATGTACAGAACTAAATTTTGGGCAGTAAAAAAAAGGGGAGCAATGAATGCATATAGCGCAAATAATAATGCTTAGATGGATGAGTAAAGTGACAAAAACGAATGGTAATAATATTAGGAATGAATATATTAGGGGAAGTCTACGGTTAACATCAATTGTTGCCAAGATGAGAGAGCATAGGTTAAGATGCTTTGAACATGTTCAACGTCGAGACGTTAATCACCCAATATAAGGATTTTCTGATCTGCGGGTTTCTGGAAGTAGTAGGAAAGGAAGACCAAAAAAGACCTAGGGGAAGACGCTTAGGTAGGACATGTCGGTAAAGAGTATTAATATTAATATAACCCAACATAGAAACTTATGGAGTAATGTAATTAGAAAAGCCCACCCCGCATAGCAATAAAGGCAAAGAGAATGATGATGATAATGATGATGATGATGAGATTATATTATCATTTTCTTTGACTTCATTCTTCTTTATATACTTCTTTCTTGTTATACTGATATTAATTCTCGTTTATAAGCAAAAACACTTTTCTCATATTCCCACAATAAATCTTTTTTGGCCTTTATCTCCTATTTCTACAAACAAATTAACACTACGTGATATACTAACGTGATATTAACAGGGGATACTGATAAAAAGAAAAAATGAAGAAAAAAAATGACCTTATTAAAATGATGTAAAAATTATTGGATAAAAAAAGAACTGATGGATAACATAAAACAAATAAGAAAAGAACAA